GCGAGAGTGTGGAGGTGGAGATAAGCTAAAGAAAAAAGGGAGACGTCTTGATGAAAGTGTTTGGTGTGAGCCGTGTCTGTTCCTGTGTTCTGTTGTGTGTAGCTTTGATTGCAACATGAAGGAGGAGAACCTGCTCCTGCAGAAAGCACAAAATCAGTGCGTGCATGTGTGCGTGTGTGTGTGTGTGTGATTGCATATGTGTGTCGATGTAGCTACATCCCTTCAACTGATGGATTAACCAGTTATTAACAGCCTCCTTGTCTATTTAATTAACCTTGTTAGTTATTGAGCACATAACTTTGTCTGCTACCTGTCCACATGCATATTTTTCTGCTCCTGCTCCCTTCCTTTGCTTTCCAGCAGCTGCATGTCTCAGGTCCATATTTCATCAGTGATGAATAATTCAGGCAGCAGGACAACATCCAGCTTCTCACGGAGAGCCTGGATGCTTCCCTCAATCCTGGATTACCCATCTGCAACTCAGAAAATCTACCTAAATAATGCATTTATATTCTTTTGGATGTAAAAATGCAAATCAGGTAGATTCAGTAACTGAATTGGAGTTAGAATGCAGAAAAAACAGAAAGGAAAAAAAAAACCCAAAACTTTTAATTTATTCCTTTTAATGATCTGCGTTCTGGAGTTCTCCATATTTCATACCTTCCTGATCACTTAGTTCTGATGTATAGTGAATAAATTCATAACTAGGAAAGAAAACCTTTTATTTTGGAATGAAGAATCAGTGTGATTACGCGGACAGAGCTGCTGTTAGTGGGTCAACAGAGCAACAAATTAGAGCGAGGCAGCATATTGACCTTGCTCATACCCTTGTGTCGTTGCGCCTGTGTGGAAACACAAACACAAAGGCTGAGAGCCACATTAATAGGTTTTATCAACATCTAATTATTTTTATACAGACTTAAACATTAAGGATAAAATTATACAAGTGTATTATACAGTACAAATCTGTATTCATAACGTTCAGCTCACAAAAGTCAACTCTACTCATTTTAATCCATACGTCAAAGTGGAATGACTTTAACTTCATAGTAAACAAGTTTTTTTCTTTTTCTTGACTGAGCTCCAATTAATGTTTTTGCTTTACCAGGAAAATAAAGAAATCAATCACCTGAGTGTAAACAATCTCTCAAAAACCCAGCAGGATGTGGAGATCATGAAATGCTGTCAAGTATTTTTTCCACATATTTTTTTCTATATTAGTTTTGATTTGTTTATTGATTGAGGGGCAAAAAGCTACCCAAATCAATTAGGCTGATGTGTAATTGTTTGTAAGTAATTGTTTTCCCATATGAAATCATGAACTGTCATTGTTTGGAAACCTGAGTCCAGTCCCACCAGCCACCCAGACCTGATTACCAGTACAACTAAAAAAGCACTTCCTTAGAACCTGTCTGACAACATGAAGGAGTCTAAAAGCACTCCTAAACAACACATCATGCCAGGATCTAAAGAAAGTACAGAACAAAAGAACACAGAACAAAATCTGAACACATCAGGTGCCACATAAGCTCATAGTTTAAAAAGAAGAGTGGCTTCTCAGTGAGATTTCCAAGAAAAAAAACATTGGTGACCAAAATCAGCAATCAAAAAAAGAACACGAAGGCCAGTATAACATTTGAAAATAAAAAACTTCTTGTTATCCCCAAGACTTTTTAGAAAATGTTGTGTGGACTCATGAGACAAAAGATGTGTGTCTTGTTACATCAGGTGCACAATTGAAACATTAATTCTTCTCCCTATCAGGGACAATGTCTGTCCTTGGACCTTAAAAAAGCTGTTCATGCTGGAAAAACCCTCTAAATAAATCATTTCTGTAACGGTTGACATTCATGGACTCACAAAGCGGAAAGCTGTGCTGATTTACCATCCAGGAGAGAGCAGAGTGCGTCTCGGTTAGTAGAAGCTAACTGTTAGCATTAGCAACTCCACAACATGGCAGGACTCTTGTGTTATTTGTAGGGATATGAGCTTAATGAGGCCCAACCCCAGTACTCGCACTGAGCCCTACGATCTTCTGAGAAGTGGACTCAGTGGTCTCCTTCAAAAAGCATCTAAAAACTCACCTGCTCAGGCTGACTTTTGCGCGACCTTCATCACCATGCTTTTCTTATTTTGTTCTCTCTACCAACTCCACCTTTCCCAGGATCCACTGATTTCCCTCTTCCCTATTTATTTTCTCTTACCCTTTCCTTACATTTTTTTAATCACAATGTTTTTTTTCTTCACTTTTACGATATCTTAATATTCTAAGCTGCCATATCGACCAGTTCTCTCTGGTTTATCTCAATGAAAACTTCCTGATTAAATAAATGATTAATTAACCAATAAATAAATGTCAAATGACCAAAATTACAGGTGCTGCATACTTTTATTTTCAACCACCCAACCAAGTAACCTAATGTTTCCAAACTAGGGTGATATATGGTTCTATAGTATAGAATCTATACTATAACATAAATTCACATTCAGAAAAGGCCATAAAGCAGGTGACTTTCGATGAAACCCCTAATAAATTTGTGTTTAGGGTGTGTTTCAGGGTGCTCCAGAACAGTTTGTGTTATTTTTGTTCTTAAGTTTGGTAGAATCACATGAATACAAACCTCTTATGCAACATTTCTCAATAAAAGGAGCAGTTGCAAGTCTCGCTTTCAGTTTTTAGAGTCCTGACTATCACATAACGCTGCGCAAGTATAACTGCCTAGTTTAACTAGTTACTCTTGTCCTTTTTACGGCATCACTTGATTTCTATCCATGGAGGGTGTTTGAGTTGTCATGGAGATGCACTGGTTTTGTCAAAATGGGCATGTGATGCAGTTGAAGCTATAAACAGAATCAATTTGGAGATGAGATTTGTTGTTAGATGAAGATGACTCAAAAATAAACAATACTGCAGTTAAATTTTCCATCCATCTATGTGTTGTACAGGGTCATGGGTAGCTGATGCAGATCTCAAGAGGTTATTGGGTGGGCGTGAGGTTGGGTCAACTGGACTGGTCACCAGGAGCACACACACGCACGCACGCACGCACGCACGCACGCACACACACACACACACACACACACACACACACACACCTAGGGCAAAGTTAGAGTCACCAGTAAACATGCACGTTTTAGCCCCAGTGTGACATTTCTGCTTGGTGTTGGTGAGGCTTGAACCAAAGCATATTAAGCAGAGCAGCGGTGCAGAACGTTTCCCGTTTGGATAAACCTGAGTAGAAAAGCATTGTTTTGTTGCTTAAAGTGAAAGGATTTTCATAAGCAGCCCACCGTTTTAAAAATAGATAACAAGAGAACATTCTTCTTTTTTATTTTTGTCAGAGGTTAATATCAAAACACAAGTTGCCATGGTAACCCAGGAAATAGAGCAATGCTGTTCAAGTAGTGTGTCTTTTAACACAAACTGAATATAAGCTGGTTTAATTTGTGCTGATCATCCATCCATCCATCCATCCATCCATCCATCCATCAATCCGTCCGTCCGTCCGTCCGCCCGCCCGTCCATCCGTCCATCCTGCTTAAGCAGAGCTAAACTTCTCTCTCTCCATCGACCTTCTACAGCTCCTCCAGAGACAGTGCTCTCAGGATGACTGTTGGATGGAATTTTGAGTGTTGGATGAATTTTGATAAAAGGTCTGGGTAAAGAAAGTAGATAAAAAAAAGCCTTAGTATTCACCAAAGAACTGAATTTGGGTAATTTGTGGGTTTTCTGATGTCAGTGACTTGTGGTGGCCATGTTGAATCCAATTGCCTTCAAAAGGTAACCAGCTGTAGACGAAGATTCATTGATGGCTTTCTCAGAGCTTCATTAAAATCCACGCTGTGTATCATAAAAAATATTTGTTATTGCTGCAGACTTACACACATGCACGCGTGTAAGCACACACACACACACACACACACACACACACACACACACACACACACACACACACACACACACACACACACACACACACACACACACACACACACACACACACACACACACACACACACACACACACACACACACACACACACACACACAGGAACAGGCAAAAACATTATCGCTTGCCTTTTCTTGTGTTACGCTGAGATTCAAGGTCCAATATGGAACAAAATGTCATAAATGTAATATTAAAAAATCCACACAGAATGTTTATTCCTTCTAACATTCATGTGCAACAACAGTTTATTAGCTGGTAATAAGCATCATCATATCTCACTGATTGAGCCTCTATGGTTAAAACGGATCATGAAAATGATCAGAACATTTAAGGATAATAGGTTATTTTTGACAAGTACTCATTCCTTGATTCTAGATACTTTAGGGATATAACAACAGAAAATAGCCGAGATGGTACGGCTCCCATCTACCTGAATCCTCTTGCAAAGGCTCACGTCTCGGCCCGGCCGCTCCGGTCATCACAGGATCGTCGGCTAGCAGTGCCTACACCACGCTCAGGACAGTCCAGACTCTTCTCATGCATCGTTCCACAAATGTGGAATGACCTTCCAAGCACTACCAGAACAGCGGCTTCCTTTTCAATTTTCAAGAAACTCCTGAAGACCCTGCTCTTCAGAGAGCATCTTCTTAACTAGCACCTTGCCTGCACCCGTCCCCCCTCTCTACTGTCCACTCCTTGTTCACTTCCTCTCCGTGATTGATGTCAAGTTGTTGTTATTGTTGTTGTTAGCCTCAAGGGCAACATGCCGATTATCACTTGTAAGTCGCTTTGGACTAAAGCGTCTGCTAAATACATAAACATAAACATTAATTTTCCAGACAACTCTGTGTTTGATTTGTGTTTATTACTCACATTTATTCTGCTGGGAGATAAAACATTAACAAAATTGAAATAAACTCCCGACTCCCATCAGCTCTGCTTTCACTCAGCTGCAAAGGCACTCAGTGTAACTCAGCAGGAGCACTTCTGCAGACTGTTTTTACCTGACAGCATAGCATGTGTGTGTGTGTGTGTGTGTGTGTGTGTGTGTGTGTGTGTGTGTGTGTGTGTGTGTTAATGTGTTTTGCTCTCTCAGGCCATTCATGTTGAGGATAAGCCTGCAAACGTTCTCCATGTTGGTCAGGGGTGCACAAATTATTGCATCACATTTCTGTTGGGAATCAGTCACAAATTTTAAAAACCAAGTGTGCACATTGTGAATTTTTTTGTTTCTTCTTTTTTTTTTTTACTCACCCCCTCAATATTAAGGACTAAATGATGATATTCCTATTCTTCTTCTCCCCCTGCGCTGTTTTAGTCCTAAGTGTGGTGAGAATCTGAGCTCTGCCAGCTTTGTGCTGGGATTGTCATGAAAAGTGATTGAAGTCGGTTTTCTGTACAACAGAGGGAATGAACGTGTTCCTGGAGGGCAAACAGGGGATAGATTTGCCTTAATTTGAAAATAAACAAATAAATCACCTGAACGTATGTGTGATGATTGAAGTTTCGTTATGAATTCACTGGCAGATAACATTTTCCTGATCATTTTGATTTCGTTTCCTTCTCCTGCAATTCCAGTGACTTTTTCTGACACACTCCTCAACAGCACATGACAGAAACTTAATTTTCCCTCACAGCTCCTTTGAGTTGACTTGCTGGACTGATGAGATTCTCAGACGTCGACCTGCATCACTTTGCATAATAATGAAGAAACAGAGGGAGATGCTTTTAGGATAAAGACTGCATGTGTCAGATGAAGAGGAATGAGGAGATTTTTCTAATGAAAGCATACATTTATGTTATCACAACATTTATTATAACAGACTTGATAACATTATAAAATGGTGCTGAAGCAGAAAAATATTTAAAACATAAATACACTCATACTTTTCTCTGCCTGCTAGAACTTTTGACACTTGTAAGAAATAGTTAGATAAAAGTTTTTGGTTTTAGAATGTACTGTATATAGCATGTGTGATTGTTAGATCGAAACACTGCAGTTTTAGAGGCTGTACACAGGATTTTTTAAACCATTGCTTTTCATATTGATTACCATGGCAACTAGTAAAGCTCTGAAGCAATCGTGCCACTGCTCACACAGAGACACACAGCTTTTGTTGTTTCTCTCGATGTGGTAACTGATATTCCCACTTTCGAGGTGAATTGAACAAAACTCTGTTCTCCAGGAAAGGAGGGAACAACTGTGATTGAAGGGGAACATTTGACAGCAAAAATACTAAAATACAACCTTTTTAGCAACTACCCAAAAGACATGTTACAAGGATTTTTAGGGCAAAGAGAACTGAAATGCCCCTGAATGGCTGGCTCCAGAGGGGCTGCATGCCAAAAGGCAGGACAGGCAATTGCTTAAGGACCCAAGAACCTGACAAACTTTTAACCAAACCAGAATAGGCTCAGAAAAGCCTGGCCCTAACCCTAACCCAGTGTTCTTAACATGTTCAGTCAGACGCCAGCATGTGTTCTAACATAACACGTGATCTCCACGTGGTCCAGAAGACCTAAAAATCACTAAACTGGAGGCTTGACTCAACACTGAGACCATGTTCACATATAGAGTAGTGTTTTTCTGTATCTGTCCATCCCAAAGGTGTCTCAGAGCTGATATCTTACATTATAAAATCCTGACAAGATCCAAAAATCTACAACTCAAAAAGTGTATTCTGACCTTTTGTTTTGCCAGTCCTCTTATTTTCCGGAGACAACTTTACAGACATCCTTGGGCCCCTTCTGCATAAACAGTTGGAGGAGTCCTCTGTGGGTTATGTGGGCTGAAACTCTGCTCAAACAATAACATTTCTGCACAAGATTTTCTCTGGTTGCACCTGGAATACAGGTAGGAACCCTGAAGAACAAACAAAAAAAATGTGTGAAAAGTGTTGAATTAATTTTTTGTGTTAAATATTTATTTAAACAGAACAACAAAATCTGATGGCCCAAAGGTATTATTAACTGATTTTTGCCAAGCTGCTACCAAGAGAAGACACCATTCATTCAGTAGTGCAATTATAATCTTTGCAGAGTGATTCAGAAAGCTGCTGTTTTGTGCAGATTTCTAATAAAAAACCAACATTACAATGCATCCTTGAATCTGTCTTTGTCTCTTCTCACTAGCTGTGTCATTTTGACAACTTGTTACATCAGCTTGTCACACAGGAATAGCAAGATTATCTTCACTGCCATTCATCTTTTTAATCTTTGTGCCGCTGCCGCTGGGTGAAGCTGATGTGTCTAAAGCTGTTCAATTATACATGCCATATGGTCTCTTGTCTCACACTTTCTGGTTTCCTACACCAGAGGGGGACAAGACATCAGATCTGTAGATGGGGTACAGTCGTTTTAAAAAGTTGCTATCAAGCCCACTCTTTGATTTGTGTTTTAAATTCAGTTGTGCAAAATTTTTGTCTAACCACCCTGACTGGATGTTCACAAGTGGGTGGCCTAGTGGTAGTGTCTTTTATAAGTTTTCTTGTATAAATCCCAAAGTTTGCGTGGAAAGTTGCTTACGCAGTTTTCCGACCCCGTTTTGTGCGTAAGCAAGCTTGATAAATGAGGCCCCAGGTGAGCATGGTTGGTTTAGTAGGTGTTGATGCTTGATAACGGTCCAGGATTTAAAATCAAGACAGTATCCATCTGTTTTTTAGATCTTTCTCCAAATCACAGATCCTTTTATGACAGCTGACCCTTTAGAACACAGTATGATCTTTAACATCATCACAACTGCAAAGGTGAATTCAAAGGTTGCAATGGGGGAAAACGACCACCTGCCAAAGGTATCACCTTGATATGACCAGTTCCTGACTCCCAGTATGTGGGAGTCTGAAGGTGATGATTGGTTTCTGTAAAGATAGAGCATTTTTCACACCTTCAGTCCTGGACGGACACACACACACACACACACACACACACACACACACACACACACACACACACACACACACACACACACACACACACACACACACACACACACACACACACACACACACACACACACACACACACACACACACAGAAACTCCCCCGTGGGTTTTTGTCCACCTTGGGTGACTTAATTATCATATCCTCTGAAGAAAGACACCGGTTTAGACACTGGCCTGCCTTTTACACATACTATTTTCATCTGAAGGGGTCGTACTGATTTCATCTGCATTTAGAAATGAACTCTGTCTTAAAGGAAGCTAACTTCATCAGTCCAATCTAATTAAGAGGAATAAAAATAACATCCAGATCACACTGCTCTCTGTGACTTGATGCTTTTATGATGCCGTGTCAAACTGAGCGATGCAACGTCTCTGTGCATCACATTGGGTAGCAGTAGCTCGACAGGTGGAGCGGGTTGTCCAGTAATCAGAAGGTTGCAGGTTCGATCCCGGCTCCGGACAGAGAATTCTGCTGTTGTGACCTTGGGCAAGACACTTAACCCACCTTGCCTGCTGGTAGTGGTCGGAGGGACCGGTGGCGCCTGTGCTCGGCAGCCTCACCTCTGTCAGTGCGCCCCAGGGCAGCTGTGGCTACGTCGTAGCTCATCACCATCAGAGTGTGAATGTGTGCGTGAATGGATGAATGATACACTGTAGTGTAAAGCGCTTTGGAGTCCTTACTCTGAGAGACACTATACAAGTGCGGGTCATTTATCATTTATCATTTAATACACAGTTTACAGTGTATTAAAATGCTTTAGGATGATGTTCTCAAACATGAGCTTGGCCTGTGTTTGTATAGCACCTCCTTGGGGTTCTACAACCCCCCAAGGCACTTCACAACACAATCAGTCATTCACATATTCACACACTTTACTTTTTATATTGGAAGCCAGGTTTCCTTCTGGCTGGCTTGAGGCCTGTCGATAACATCACAGATCACAGTAGATGATTGGCTGGACGCACGACTACCAAACGTTACGTTACCACGTTCAAAAACACTTAGTCAGTAAGAAACATGGATTTAATAACAAAACTCCTAAACTCTTTCCAAAACATGTGAAAGAACAAAATAATAAAAGAGATGCAATATATTTTGGCCGAGCGGTATTGCCGTAGCGTGATGATGTCATTGGCAGGCACAGGACCCTGAGCATCCCTAAACCTGAGACCATGGTCTTGATTCGGAAAAGGGTAGAATGTCTTCGGGTCAGGGATGAGGTCCTGCCTCAAGTGGAGGAGTTTAAGTATCTCGGGGTCTTGTTCACGAGTGAGGGAAAACTGGAGAGTGAGATCGATAGGCGGATTGGTGCTGCATCTGCAGTGATGCGGGCGTTGTACCGGTCTGCCGTGGTGAAGAGAGAGCTGAGTCAGAAGGCAAAGCTCTTGATTTACTGGTCGATCTACTTTCCTACCCTCACCCATAGTCATGAGCTTTGGGTAGTGACTGAAAAAACGAGATTGCAGATACAAGCGGACGAAATCAGTTTTCTCTGCAGAGTGGCTGGGCTCTCCCTTAGAGATAGAGTGAGAAGCTTGGTCATCCGGGAGGGGCTCAGAGTAGACCTGCTGCTCCTCCACATCGAGAGGAGCCAGTTGAGGTGGCTCGGGCATCTGGTCAGGATGCCTCCTGGATGCCTCCCTGGTGAGGTTTTCCGGGCACATCCAACCGGGAGGAGACCTAAAGGTAGACCCAGGACACAGTGGATGGAGTATGTCTCTCACCTGGCCAGGGAACGCCTTGGGTTTCCCTAGAGGAGCTGGCCCAAGTGGCTGGGGAGAGGGAAGTCTGGGCCTCTCTACTTAGGCTACAGACCCCGCGACCCGACTCTGGATAAGCAGATGAAAATTGATAATGGATGGAGGACCCCGAGCAGATCCGGAAACTACAGTACCAGAAAACTAGCATCAGCATTCTCTCAATTGAAATAACTGAAGAACTGCCAATGTCAGAGGAGTCACACCGAGGTTTTGTTCTTTCTGCTCCACAGGGAACATTTACCGTCATGTTTTTATACACTTGCAACAGTCACAGTGATATGGTGTAAAACTACACATGAATGTATGTATTGCCCCCTAGCGCCAGGAAACGACACACTGCCACTTTAATGATGACAAACTAATAGTGAGCACATCGTGGACTAACTAGTTTCAAACAATCGAGCTATTTTTAATTAATAGGAAATATTTAGTTTTAGTCTGATGGTTTCCAACGCAACATAATCATCATGAGGAAAGACAATTTTATCGTTCAACAACTATTGGTTCATGATTACTTACTTTACTGTGATCTAACAAAGCTCATTGTTAACTAAACAATGGTTCATCATCACCTGCTAATAATCAATTAACCCTCATTCATTATTATCTGAGTTCTTCATATAAGTTCATCCTTCATAGCCCCATTAGTTATAATCACACACTGGTGAAATTCATCTCTGGGTTTAACCCATTTTTGGGGAGAGATGAGCTGCAGCAGTGGCTGCACTCGGGAACTGTTTGGTGGTTTAAACTCCAATCCAACCCCTTAAAGCTGAGTGTCAAGCAGGGAGCACTCAGTCCCATTTTTATAGTCTTTGGTATGACCCGACTGGGATCTGAACCTCAATCTCCCAGTCGTAGCGCATACACTCATACCACCAGGCCACTAAGAAGATATGTTAATTTTCCATAACCCTCTAATTCATTATCAATAAACTTCTTTGTAAATCACTAATGATTTATTAGCCATAAGTAATAATTAGTGTATCATCAAGGAACAGGAGTAAATAATTTTCTCACTTAAAGTGATGATGTGTATTTTCCTGGGGATAGGGGGCAGCACATACAATCATTGCAAGCAAGCGATATTCTTGTGTTCAAAAAGACCATACCAACGGATGGTCATTAGGGTCAAAAATCCCTGGGAGCGCGACCTCCGCAAAACAACAAGAACATCAGACTCCCTTTCACCACTGGCAGCAAGTGAAGAGGTAAATGTATGAAACAAAGTTTATTAATGGTGAAAGTTTTGTAACTGCTTGTTACAAATCAGCAAATGCATTTTGTCCTCATGGGGCTCCCGTAGAAGGAAACCTGGCGTCCAATATGGCATTGCCCAGAGACTTAAACCCGCTCCTGTAGAGATTGTAAAAAGAATAGTTTAGTTTACAAAAAGTTAATAGGTTGACAAATTAAATATTATTTTCTTGATCCCATGATTCAAAATAACATCTTATTTACTTGGTGATCAGCTCCTTTATGCCATGATTCATTAGTTAAAATATATATTTGTTATTTTGTGAGAGAAACTAATAGAAGCATGTTGATGTGGTTTATTAGTGAGTTCATCGATTGCACTGCCATTACCGATCAGGTGATCAGTGATCTATTATTTCTGCCTTTCAAAACAAAGGAGAAATGGTCAAAGTGCTCAAAAGGTATTTTCTTTAAACATTACTTTTTATTTCTACAAATTAAGTCTGTTTTTAGAGACTAGTAATGGTTTTCTACTTTTGTTATAAGAGTGTTTTCACCAATCTTGTATTGATTAGTAAGGTCTGAGTTGACGCTGGGGGAACGTAGCGCTTCTGCTCGTCCATTATTACAGTGGAAGTGGCAGAAGTAACATCGAGTACGTGTTGTTTCTTCACTATCCCCCCTTTACAAGGGTGTAACATTCCCATGTATTTATGACCCAGTTTTTATGGTTATATGTTACAATGAGCCAATATTTTTCAAAACCTGGACATCATTGAATTCCTTTTCAACAATATTTTGATGGATATTTCCAGAGATAAAAACCACACATTGTCTCTTTAACCAGTACTTTATCAATCACTAATTTTTGCGGTCTTATGGTAAACGGCATTCTTCATTTTTAGTTCAACGTTCACTAAGAATGAGTTAGTCATTGACTTTTGGTCAGTGATGAATTAGTGGT